TCGCCGACTTGGTGGTAAAAACCGCCCGAAACAAATAGAGCCACAGCTCCCAAAGGGGGAGTGATCTCGGTACCCCAAATAAACAATGGCGAAGATGGCCGCTGTGTGCGATGGAGTTAGCTGAAGTTGTGGAGCTCCACGCCGTAGTAAGTCTTGAGCGCCCCACATGAATCTGTCCGTCGGCAAGCCGAGGCCTCGCTCGTGGAAGACGACGAAGCTCACCACGTAGCCATCACGTGGCCTCGGTTCTGACTCATTCCCCGGAGCAATCCACTCCGGCTCGTCAGGATTGGTGATCGAGCGGAGGAGACCGGCGTCCACCAGCGACTGTAGCTTCTCCACGGTGACATCAGACCACTCCTAGGGATCTACCGGGAGGATGACAGGACCGCTAGCCAGTGCGCGGTGGAGGACGCTGCTACGGCGGTAAATCTCTCTCTCTCTCTCTCTTTCAATCGATCTCTCTCGCCCTTCTTCTCCCGGTGCTTTATGCTCTTAGCAACGGCTTGGAGGCGGCGAAAGCAAATGCAGGCAAGGTAAGGAGGGGAGGGGCGAGGCTCTTTACGTATTTATGCAGGGGTAAGACGAAACCGCTGGGCGACAAAATCGGGGAAGCTTCCCTCAGATCCGTCGCATATAATCCAGATCCGATCTCTCCGCCCACGCGCCCACCTTCTCCACATTTAATCACGCAGACGGTTACGTCCCATCCACTAACACCACGTCGCGCAGCAACGGCAGCTCTCGAGAAGACCGCCTCAAAAGACGCGCCGTTGTTAGCCGATGGAAGGGAAATACCCCCTAGCCGATTCCTTCTGAGCTAAGGAACCGGGCGTCGAGCCCGCTACGGTCCAGAGGTTCGAAGGCTGGGCCATTTATGGTCTCGACAGCCGCCTCAGGACAACAGAGTCAGGGACAACTATGGGCGAGCCCGTACATGGCCGAGGCCCAGGCAAGCGATTGCTTGGGATGCCCTAAGTCATGTCCGAGACCAGCAGGAGTTTTCTAAAGGGGATCCCACCGTAGGGAGGCACTGAGCCCCTAGGGCCAATCGAACAGCCCTGGCACCCACTAGAGAAGCCTTCCGGTACTTTTTTGGAGCGCGTCTCTGGACCACTAGCCGACCCCTATCGAATGGGGCACGGGCCTCCACTCGGACTTACCCGATAAAAGCTCACCGGAAATGTCACCGCTCGCGCCCACCGAGGGTAGCCTGGCATGTTCCACCCCTCCTTCCGAGCGAAAAGGATGCGCGAGGGTCGTACAAAAAGCTAGGGGAACTCCTGATCGCCCTCTCGCTCCGCGTGGAGGCTCGGGGGCTCTTCCTGCAACCTTACCGAGACCCAGCGACCTAGGTTCGCACGCGAAGGGCTCGGCAAACAACCCCTCCTTCTGAGCGAAAAGGATGCGCGAGGGTCATACAAAAAGCTAGGGGAACTCCTGATCGCCCTCTCGCTACGTGCGGAGGCTCGGGGGCTCTTCCTGCAACCTTGCCGAGACCCAGCGGCCTAGGCTCGCACGCGAAGGGCTCGGCAAACAACCCCTCCTTCCGAGCGAAAAGGATGCACGAGGGTCGTACAAAAAGCTAGGGGAACTCCTGATCGCCCTCTCGCTACATTCGGAGGCTCAGGGGCTCTTCCTGCAACCTTGCCGAGACCCAGCGGCCTAGGCTCGCACGCGAAGGGCTCGGCAAATAACCCCTCCTTCCGAGCGAAAAGGATGCGCGAGGGTCGTACAAAAAGCCAGGGGAACCCCTGATCACCCTCTCGCTACGTCACGGAGGCTCGGGGGCTCTTCCTGCAACCTTGCCGAGACCCAGCGGCCTAGGCTCGCACGCGAAGGGCTCGGCAAACAACCCCTCCTTCCGAGCGAAAAGGATGCACGAGGGTCGTACAAAAAGCTAGGGAACCCCTGATCGCCCTCTCGCTACGTACGGAGGCTCGGGGGCTCTTCCTGCATCCTTACGCCCCGAGGGTCGGAAAAACGCGACGAAAAAGGGCACCTAGCCCACTACGGTCCAGAGGTTCGAAGGCTGGGCCATTTATGGTCTCGACAGCCGCCTCAGGACGACAGAGTCAGGGATGACTATGGGCGAGCCCGTACATGGCCGAGGCCTAGGCAAGCGATTGCTTGGGATGCCCTAAGTCGTGTCCGAGACCAGCAGGAGTTCTCTAAAGGGGATCCCACCGTAGGGAGGCACCGAGCCCCTAGGGCCAATCGAACGGCCCTGGCATCCGCTAGAGAAGCCTTCTGGTACTTTTTTGGAGCGCGTCTCTGGACCACTAGCCGACCCCTATCGAATGGGGTACGGGCCTCCACTCGGACTTACCTGATAAAAGCTCACCAGAAACGTCACCGCTCGCGCCCACCGAGGGTAGCCTGGCGTGTTCCACCCCTCCTTCCGAGCGAAAAGGAAGCGGGAGGGTCGTACAAAAAGCCAGGGGAACTCCTAATCGCCCTCTCGCTTCGCACGTAGGCTCGGGGGCTCTTCCTGCAACCTTGCCGAGACCCAGTGGCCTAGGCTCGCACGCGAAGGGCTCGGCAAACAACCCCTCCTTCCAAGCAAAAAGGATGCGCGAGGGTCGTACAAAAAGCCAGGGGAACTCCTGATCGCCCTCTCGCTCCGCGCGGAGGCTCGGGGGCTCTTCCTGCAACCTTGCCGAGACCCAGCGGCCTAGGCTTGCACGCGAAGGGCTCGGCAAACAACCCCTCCTTCCAAGCGAAAAGGATGCACGAGGGTCGTACAAAAAGCCAGGGGAACTCCTGATCGCCCTCTCGCTACGTGCGGAGGCTCAGGGGCTCTTCCTGCAACCTTGCCGAGACCCAGCGGCCTAGGCTCGCACGCGAAGGGCTCGGCAAACAACCCCTCCTTCCGAGTGAAAAGGATGCGCGAGGGTCGTACAAAAAGCCAGGGGAACTCCTGATCGCCCTCTCGCTACGTGCGGAGGCTCGGGGGCTCTTCCTGCAACCTTGCCGAGACCCAGCAGCCTAGGCTCGCACGCGAAGGGCTCGGCAATACCAAAAGCCAGGGGAACTCCTGATCGCCCTCTCGCTACGTGCGGGATCACACGCGAGGGCTCGGTAGGCTCGGGGGCTCCTCCTGCACCCCAAACGAAAACAAGCGACCCGAGCTCGCTCTCATGGGTCTAGCAAATGTGATAGAGCACCTCACTCAATGAAGAAAAAGCCCCTAAAAGAGTAAGCTCACTCCTCTAGGGCCTCGGGGGCTACACCCGGCGGGTGCGCTCGCGCGCACCCACCAGGAATCGCAAGTATAAAACAAACCCGACAAGAGCCACTGAGAAACAAAAGTCTCAACAAAACCTCGGGGAGAGTATCCCACACTCCCGCCCGAGGCTCGGGGGCTACTGTCGGATACCAGAAAATGGGGTACCCCAAGCAAAGATCGAAAAACTGCTTAGACCCTAAAAACAGAACCAACGGAATAAACAAACGAGGTCCCGGCCGAAATCTCCGATTCGCCTGAGACCCCGTCGCCGAGGCCCCCTCGTCGAGGCCCGTTCGTCGAGCCCCATCGCCCGGGGCCTCGGAAGAAGTGCCGATTCTCCGACTCGCGCGAGGCCGGCTCGGGACCAGCCCCGTGACCGCCTCTTCGACCGAACTGCTCTGACCGAACGTCGCATCCAAGCGCCCAACCACTCCGACAGACGCACAATGGCATAGTATAGCGAAGTGACCGACTACACGCAAGTCGCGTCAACCTCCTGCCATCTGCGACGGCACAGAGCAAGGGTTACCGACCACTGTGCTGCCTAACTCCTGCACCAAAGACATCACAACGTGGGGAGTCAGAACAGGTTCCTGTAGCCTCGGAATCAGCGGACCGACCGCTCCGTCTCGCCCGAGCCCCCTCGACGGGGCCTCGGATTCACTGATCTTTCTCCGCCTCGCCCGTCCGTCTCGCCCGAGACCCCCCGGTAGGGCCTCGGACAAATTGGCCGCGCTCCGCCTCGCCCGAGGCCGGGCTCGTCCCGCAACCTCGCCGCCTCCGCCTCAAAGGTCTCTCTGGCAGGCTGTCGCATCCGATTAATGCGCTCAGCTGCACCCGCTACGTAAGCCACGATCGGCAGTGCGCTGCAACAGGAGCGACGGGACAACGGTCAGATCACCTTTTTTACCATCCCTACTGACAACACAGGTACCGTATCCTGTAGGCGCACGTCTCGCACTGTTCCACCTGATGGCCGCTGAGACCCGCATCTGCACCTGGGTCACTTCTCAGTCCTCGGCACGGCAGGCCTCGGCACAACAGGCCTCGGCATGACAGGCCTCGGCACGACCGGCTACGATGGCCGCCGAGCCTCTGCAATCCACTAAGTCAACAAATGCGCAGCATGTTACTTGCAGTGGAGACCATACCGATTAGACATCTACGGAAACTCCCACGACAACGCCATGCTGCTCCAGAAGTAAATACGTCATCGAATAGTCCGCTCCACGTGTAGCTCTCTTATGTACTCCTGGTTTCCTCCCTGCGGCTATAAAAGGAGGCGGCCAGGACCGTTTCTAGGGACGGCGGATAGAGTCATGAATACTCGCATGAACAACACGCCTCATTCTGTAATTCATATCTCCTCCCCTCACAGAGACCTAGGACGAACTCCTTCTCTCGTCTAGCTTGTAACCCCCTACTACGAGCACCCCGGTGCAAGGAATACAAGAACATCTTCTCAGACTGGACGTAGGGCATCCATTGCCCGAACCAGTATAAACCTTGTGTCTCTTTGCATCATCATCCGGAATTGGAAGCACGCAGCACAAATTCACTAGTCGGTTAAGGACCCCCGGTTCCGAAACACCGACAGCTACAAAGTTTTATTTCTCAATGAGATCTATAACTTTTGTTTTTGGTCATTTTTCTGTCTGAGCTCGTTTGAAAAGTTTGAATTTCAGATCGTGAGAACTTAAAACATAATTTTAGGACCACAAATAATTTTAAATAAAAAAATTATCAACTACAAATTGCAATTCTCATCGAGTTACTGCTGTGTTTGCAGCACAAGGCTGAGCTGGTAAAGGTGCCGCCGCCCAGCCGGGACGCCGAGGCTCCCCTTCTCCCAGACGAAGTAGTCCTTGCCGTGTGCCGCGGGGTGGATATCCGACGGGATCATGTTGCTCACGTCGTACCTTGTCCCGATCTTCACCATGACCTTCTTCTTGTCGACGACGGCCACGTACGCGTCGGCGTCCGCGACGAGGATCCGCAGCTTGCTCCCGGCGTGGATGCCGTTCCGCGCCCGGATGGCAGACAGCGTGGATATCTCCTGCTTCAGATTCCAGTCGAACATGTGGTCGTAGAACTGGATATGCATGCACACGTACACGTACACGGATTAGCTAAAGGCACGTCTGATTTTAGGAGTGAAACTTGGAGATTCTGGTGTGATTAACGAGCACTTACGATGCAGGGGACTCCTGGATGGGTGAGGATATAGGCGTAGCCCTGCATGACCTTGTAGGACGGGAACGGCCACAGCTTCTGCGTGGACCCGGTGTCATGATTGTCGACGAAGGTGACGGCTTTCTCCGGCATCCACCCGATCATGCCAGCCGCCTTGCCGGAGCTGTCGCGCAGCCGCCACAGCTCCCCCTGCACGCCCGCCTGCAGCAGCCCCTTGGTAGTGAAGTCGAACGCCATCGCGGGCCCTCCAACAGCCTGCACCCAGTTCACCAGCTCCTGCCGGCACTGGTCCTGGTTGGGCGACGGCTTGCCGTCACCGCTGTAGCTCAGGGAGTTCCATATCTCGGCAACGACGAAGCTCGGCCGGGTGTTCTCCACGTACATCTTGGCGACGGCCGGCGAGTAGCCCTTGGCGAAGTCGAGGCGCCAGCCGTCGAAGCCCACGTCGTCGGACTTGAGCCAGTTGAGCCAGGCGGAGACCTCCCGCTGGACGCGCTCGTTGAGGTGGTCGATGTCGGGCGCCGCGGCGAAGCCCTCGCCCGTGTCGCGGTGGCCCGTCCCGTCCGAGTACTGCGTGTCGTCGCTGCAGATCATGCCGGGGCCCCAGTCCAGGCGGTCGTCGGGCGTCCCGCCCTCGAAAGATGCAGTAGACGCCGCGCGCGTCCTTCTTCTCCGCTCACCGGTGGTTGATGACGATGTCCGCCACGCACTGCACGCCCCGGCCGTGGAACGCCGCGATCAGGGACTTGAGCTCCGCCGCCGTGCCGTAGTTGGACGCGTCCAGGTCGTATAGGCGCCCCGGCATGTAGCCTGCCGAGATGGTCGGCATGTGGTGTACAGTAATAATCTGCTCAGCCTGAGGTACGGTGTAGGGCAGTGAAAGTGCCTTGTGGCGAGACGGAGTGCGAGGGTGGAGGCAGCCAGACGTGCGTGACGCCGGCCTTGGCGATGTCGTCGACCTGGGCCTTGAGCCTGTTGTACCAGCCTCCCTGCTGCTTGCACGACTCCCAGTTAAACCCCTGCACGTACGTGTACAAATTGTGGCATGATAAGCTGACGAGATGTACGTTCTTTCTACGTACGATGACATTGACGTGTACAGGTACAGCTATCGTACTCGTACCTGGAAGAGGACCTGTGCCTGGTCCAGGTCGCAGGCCAGGCTGGTGCAGAGCGCCACGAGGAAGAGCAAACACAAGCTGCTCGACTGCTTCATCTCTGTCTGCGAGTGCTTCACTTATCTGAGGTTGGGTGGTGTGTGGTCGTGCCGAGTGGGCTCGCCGGGGCCATATATATAGGCCGGCGCCGGCACGGTGGTTGAGGCAGAGAAATGTTGATGGAAGGCCCCACATTAATGCGATGTGGATATATGGATAAAGGGGCCACGTAGGTCCCGCGCGGACAAGAGGGGCAGCAGCCCAACAGGCGCCGAGATGCGGCGGCGTGGTGCTGTTGACGACGAAGACCCGTTGCGGCCGCGGCGGCGGTTGCTCCCAGCCTCCCACAGTCCCACTCCCGGCAAGACGGAAGAGCTCGGCGATTGAGCTCGATCGCGGGCTGCGGGCAGTCGCAACTGGAGGCCTGAGTGGCCGCGGGGGCGCCACGACACTCGACTAGGCCGCGGTAGCTCTGACTGGACGGACGTATGGAGGTCGCCGTCGGCTTTCGCCTCCTTAAATTTCTTGACCTGGCGATGCTATCCACATCCTGAAACGCAAAACTGATCGATCGATCGAGCATTGGAGCCCCTGATGCCAACCTCGAAAAGGGAGAACTGGATAATGCTCCAATTAATGGAGCCGATGGAGCATGCTTGGCCAACACTAAGCAATCCAACAGAAAGAGGTTCACCGTAATCTATATGCATGACCACAGTCATAACGAGATCATGTCAGTCAGCATCTCTGACGAAATTGGACTCAAACTTGCTGAATCGCCGACTTAGTATATTTATTACTCCTCTGCGTCCTGGTACTGGCTACAGCGTTCTAGATGGCATTTCTTTGTTCAATTGTTTGTGAAAATTGGGAGTAAGAGTGTGTAAAGCATTTCTCCGACCACAAAAGTCTCTGAAATGTCTGAAGGAAACACCTGCACTGAGGTCTGATGAAGGCTGGAAAATTCCCATTTCCCACATTTTTATTTTTTTATATGTAATATATGAAGTTATGGCTCCCAAAGGCCAAAAGTATTAGCAAATTAAAGACAAAAAAAAGGTATATTACTCGTGATAGAATTGAAGAAGTGCTAAAACAGTAAAGGTGCTAGGTTCTTCGGCCGCGTTTTTCAGCTTGCAAATTGCCAGATTGTGCTTGCAATACCATATTGCAAAAATCTAGTCCCTAAATTGCAACATCCGTAGTCATTTTGGAACCCAACCTGCTCTTTTAATTTACAACAATCTGTCATGTACGGCCGGACCTATACCAGGAGGCGCCGGGCCCGTGACATCAGGCGCGTGGCTGAGCGCGCCAGCGCGTCACGGACGCGGCCCAGGGGTTGGCCAAGCCATCTAGTGGCTAATATAGGCAATAGTTGTTAGTATCCCTAAGATTGAGGAGGGATTAGTTACTATTTTTATTCCATCAAAGATTATATATTTCCCCTATAACCGGCACCTTGGAGAATAAGAACGATATAAACCAATCTGTCTTCTTCTTCCCAACTCTCAAGCCTAGGTCGCTGAGGGGTATAACCTCGCCCTAGAAGACGGATCGCGACTACGAATTACGTAGCCGAGGTCCAGCTACTCAAGGGTTTGACGCCCTTGACAACCTGGTATCACGATCCCGGCGATCCTCTTCTTTCCACGCTCCAGCCGCCGACCCGCCCACTCCACCTCCGATCCAGCAGCCATCACCCGTGTCCTCCTGCACCAGCAGCATGGGCGATGATCTGAGGGCCACCGTTGAGTCGCTCGCGAAGGCAGTCCAGCGCCTGCAGACCACCGTCGAGGCCAACGCGACGGCGATCACGGCCCTCTCCACCGATCGCTCGTCAGCCTCAGGCTCCAAGCAAGCCGAGGGCATCCCTTCTGTCGATCATCCTCCCAAATTCCAGAAGATGGATTTCCCGAGGTACGATGGCAAGTCTGATCCGCTGATCTTTCTCAATCGCTACGAATCCTACTTCCACCAGCAACGGATCATGGAGGAGGAGAAGGTTTGGATGGCCTCTTACAATCTAGAGGACGGGGCCCAGATGTGGTACATCCAAGTCCAGACGGACAAGGGTACTCCATCATGGTGCCGATTCAAGGAGCTCATCAACCTGCGGTACGGCCCGCCCCTGCGGTCCGCGCCTCTCTTCGAGCTCGCTGATTGCCGCCGCACCAGCACCGTCGCCGACTATCAGGATCGGTTCCAGGCGCTGCTGCCACGGGCCGGGGCCCTCGACGAGGCGCAGCGCGTCCAGCTCTTCACCGGCGGACTACTGCCCTCGCTTAGCCTCGACGTGCAGGTGCACAACCCCCAGTCCCTGGCGGCCGCGATGAGTTTGGCCCGCCAGCTGGAACTGCGGGAGCAGTTCACGGCGCCCTCGACCACCGTTAGCCGCGCGGGCGCCAGGCCGCTGCTTCCGGCCCCGGCCCCACGTCTACTGTTGCCGGCGCCGGCGACCACCTCTCCACCAGCCGCCATCGAGGGCCGACCACCGATCAAGCGGCTGACGTCGGCCGAGCAGGAAGAACGTCGCCGTCTCGGCCTCTGCTACAACTGCGACGAGAAGTTCTCCCGCGGCCATAACCGGGTCTGCAAGCGCCTCTTCTTCCTGGACGGCACCGTGGAGGACGACGACACGGAGGAGCCCACTGAGGAGGCAGGCTCTGAGGAGTCGCCCGCTTTCTCCCTGCAGGCCATCGCCGGTGTCCGCCTCAGCGACACCATGCAGGTCCACGTCCAGCTGGGCGCCACTCGCCTCGTCGCGCTTCTGGACTCTGGGTCCACGCACAACTTCATCTCGGACGACGCTGCACATCTCACCGGCCTCCCTCTCTAGCTCCGACCACGTCTCACCTCCACCGTCGCAAACGGGGAGCGTGTGTCGTGCGTGGGCGTCGCTCGCAACGCGGCGTTCTCCATCCACAGCACGCCATTTCGCGCCGACCTCTACGTCATGCCTCTCGCCGGCTTCGACATGGTCCTAGGGACCCAGTGGCTGGCAACGCTGGGACCAATCGTTTGGGATTTCAGCACCCGCATTGTCTCCTTCCAGCTCGAGGGCCACGAGCTGTGCTGGAGTGGTCTGCCAGGGCCGACCATGACCAGTGCCCACGTCACCCAGACCACGACGTCTCTGCTAGACGAGCTGCTCGAGAGCTTCTCCGACCTCTTCGCCGAGCCAAGTGGTCTACCTCCTCCTCGGAGCAGCGACCACCACATCGTCCTCTAGCTCGGGTCCCAGCCGGTGCCCGTGCGCCCATACCGCTACCCGACCACGCACAAGGATGAACTGGAGCGGTAGTGCGCCGCCATGCTTCAGCAAGGGCTCATTCGGCGGAGCTCGTCGGCATTCTCATCCCCGGTCCTCCTCGTCAAGAAGGCGGATGGCTCCTGGTGCTTCTGCGTCGACTAGCGCACCCTGAACGCCATCACAGTCAAGGACGCCTTCCCGATCCCGGTGGTCGATGAGCTGCTCGATGAGCTACACGGCGCAAAATTCTTCACCATTCTCGACCTCCGTTCCGGCTATCACCAAGTCCGGATGGCGCCCGAGGATATCGCTAAGACCGCTTTCCGCACACACAAGGGGCTGTACGAGTTCCTGGTGATGCCGTTTGGCCTCTGCAACGCCCCAGCCACATTCCGGGCGCTGATGAACGACGTCCTTCGCGCCTTCCTCCGCCGGTTCATCCTCGTATTTTTGACGACATTCTGATCTACAGTGCGTCCTGGGCGGATCACCTTCGCCACCTCCGCGTCGTTCTCTCCGTCCTGCGCCACCACCGCCTCGTCGTCAAGCGATCCAAGTGCGCGTTCGGCGTCACCTCCATCGCCTACCTCGGCCACATCATCTCCGACGCCGGCGTAGCCATGGATCCTGCAAAGGTGCAGGCGGTCCTCGACTGGCCCCAGCCCCGCTCGGCGCGTGCATTGCGCGGGTTCCTAGGCCTCGCGAGCTACTACCGCAAATTCGTCCACAACTATGGCGCGATCGCAGCGCCTCTCACCGCGCTCTTGAAGAAGGAGGGCTTCATCTGGTCCAAGGAGGCCGCCAGCCCTCAAGGCCGCGGTGACATCCGCGCTAGTATTGGCGCTGCCCGACTTCGCCCAACCGTTCGTCGTCGAGTGCGACGTGTCGATACACGGTTTTGGGGCGGTGCTCATCCAGGACAAGCATCCCATCGCCTACATCAGCAGGCCGGTTGCTCCTCGCCACCGCTCCCTCGCCGCCTACAAACGGGAACTCGTTGGCCTCATCCACGCCATCCGCCATTGGCGCCCGTACCTCTAGGGCCGCTGCTTCACGGTACGGACCGATCATTACAGTCTGAAGTATCTGTTGGACCAGCGGCTTGCCACGATCCCGCAGCATCACTAGGTCGGGAAGCTCCTGGGGTTCGACTTCGCCGTGGAGTACAAGCCGGGTGCCCAGAACACGGTCGTCGATGCGCTGTCTCGCCGCGACACCGAGGACAGCACAGGGGCGGTCTTGGCGTTGTCTGCGCCACGTTTCGACTTCATCGACCGCCTTCGTCAAGCACAGGCTGTGGATCCGGCTCTCGTTGCCCTTCGGGACGAGATCGTCGCAGGCACCCGCGCGGCGCCTTGGGCCGTCCAGGACGACTTGGTCACCTACGACGGTCGCCTCTACATCGCCCCGTCTTCGCCACTCCTTCTGGAGATCGTCGCCGCAATCCATGAGGACGGCCACGAGGGTGTCCAGCGCACGCTGCATCGTCTCCGCCGTGACTTCCACTTCCCCAACATGCGCCAGCACGTGCAGGACTTTGTTCATGCCTGTGCCACTTGCCAGCGGTACAAGTTAGAGCACCTCCACCCGGCGGGACTCCTTCTGCCGGTGCCCGTGCCGACGGCAGTGTGGACGGACATTGGGCTTGACTTCGTGGAAGCTTTGCCCAAAGTTCAGGGCAAATCCGTCATCCTCACTGTGGTGGATCACTTCAGCAGGTATTGTCACTTTATTCCACTGGCTCATCCATACTCTGCAGAGCCCGTCGCTCAGGCTTTCTTCGCCGACATCGTCCGCCTCCATGGG